TGTTTACATTGAATCTATTCATTAATACATATGAATTGATCTGTTGACTAAAGATGGATATTAAATTACAAAGGAAATTAAGCTAGAATCATGTAGAAAACGTATAATCTTCTTTAATAGCTAAGTTTTCTAATCCTCCAGAAGATAAGTGGAACGAATGTCTTTGGTAGACTATACGACTACTTTAGGTTATATAAATGACTTTTCATTGTGACACATATAGATAGCAACTAGATTTAATGATGAAAAAGGTAAAATAACCAATAGAACGAAATAGATTGCTTTATTATGAAACTACATTTCACGATAGACTGACTTACATCAAAGAACTAATATGAACCATAAAACACTGAACTACAATATAGTCTAAATTTTCTAACTAACTATCAGTATACACTTGTAATACAACTGATTGATGCTAGACCACCATAGAAAACCTGGAACCACTGGACCGCCGTTTCGTCCTATTGTGGGACTCCTCAGAAGTGCGCATCCACGATTCCGTTCGCGGGATTCTAACCCAGGGCCTTGTTGAGAAAATTCCTGGAGTTCTGGTGAGAAGTCGTGACCAGTGGAGCTAATCGGTGTCAGGAAGAAACAGGTGTCTACCTCAGTACAATGGAAGATCATCGCGCAACTTCGTGGATTCGCTGAGGTTAGACATTAACACCGTTGGATGCCGGCTCAGTGGTCGAGTAGGTTAGGCGTTCGTGAACGGGATCGTTAGTGTGCACTGCTGGGGAGTCCCAAAATAGGACGAAATGGCCGTCCAGTGCTTCCAAATAACATTATGTTTACGTCAGTCGTAATTCTTTGTTCACTGTTGGTATAATATTCTAACTAATTAGACTTCACAATAGTATTGTATATAGAAATTACACCTCGACTAATGAGAATACATAAAAGCAAAAATAGTGGAATGGAACGATTGCATAACTTAATAAATTATGTTATTGCAGTAAGTATTCTTGCTACTTTCTTTGATATTTCAAGATTATGGTATTTATTAAAACACTGCGCCAGTGGAGTTATTCGGTGTCGGGTAGAGACAGGTATCTACCTCAGTACAATGAAAGATGATCGTGGAACATTTTGGTTTCGTTAAGGTTAGAAATTAACACCGTTGGATGCCGGCTCAGTGGTCTAGTAGGTTAAGCGTTTTCGTACTAGACTGAAGGCCTTGGGTTTAAATTTGGTGAGCGGGGTTGTGGATGTACACTGCTGAAAAGGAGTCCTACAATAGGATGAAACGGTCATCCAGTGCTTCCAGGTTTTAAATGGTGATCTAACATCAATCAGTTCAAGATCTCAATTAATCACTTAATAATCTCCACAACCATATACTGATAAAAAACATAAAATGATAAATTATGTTATTAATCCGAGAGATAAAAACAAAGCAAAATCATACTGTCACGTTAGTTTTTTTAGTGGTCACTTACTTAACTCTTTTAAATGAAGCTAACCTGACTCCTACAGCAAAGTTCAGTTTTTATGGGGTTGGATCGCTAACCTTACACCCAACTTGGACATAGTAAATAGTTGTTCCGTCTTAGGTTAAATGTTCTACAGAGTTATCCAAACTCAACTTCAATTGGAATTACAGTTATAGATAAATACTCAATTTGACTGGTTGAAATTATGAGTCAACTGAAGCTAGATCACCATAGAAAACCAGGAAGCACTGAATGGCTGTTTCATCCTAGTACGGGACTCTTCAGCAGTGTGCATCCACGATTCCGCTTCCCGCGAGTCCCATACTAGAACAAAACGGCCGTCCAGTGCTTCTAGGTTTTCCATGATGGTCTAGCTTCAAATGACTCATAATTTCAATCAGTGAAATTTCTAAAATCTCCACATAACCCCTTCTCAAAATACTCAATTGTTTCCATATTATAATGAAACAATTCATCAAGATCATTACAGATAAAGTCATATTTATTAAGTTTACATTAATTATACTAAGATGAAATCGCTGTCCGATTCTACCAGATCTTCAATGGTGATCTAACATTGATCTATTCATGATATTAATCTAAACTCAATCATCTCCATTTATTGTTTAAATTTCATTTTTCCTTCGCAATTTCATCTTACAGAATCAAGTTAATAAACCTAAAAACTAACATTAAAAGTAAAAAGAATTTTATTATGATTATAAGAGGGGTTCTGTGAATACAATGAGTCAATTGAAGTTAGACTACCATAGAAAACCTAGAAGCACTGGACAGTCGTTTTATCCTAATATGGAACTCCTAAATAGTGCGCATCCATGAACCCGCCTTTCGCGAGATTTAAACCCAAGACCTAACAGTCTCGCACGCGAGCTCTTAAATTCTAGACCACTGAAGCAAAATCTAATGAATGTTAATGTCTCACTTCAACCAATCCACGAAATAACGCCACCGTCTACTATTGTCATCAGTGAGCTACTACTTTACAACAGACCTGGTTGAACTTAACTAGTCACGGCTTTTATTATGATCAACATATTAAATTTAATTGTTACCGGTTGATTACACAATATAAGTTAGCATTTGAAACTTATGAAAAAATAAGCAAAAGTAATTAATGGCTTGTATTAGAATCCATTTTGATGCATATTTCGTCCTATTTAAGATTCGTCAACTGGATATACATGGATCTCAGAGTTGATGTTGACTCTGAGATTCGATCTCAGTACCATTCGCTGTAAACGTCATTGGATTATCCACTTAGATACTAAGTCCTAATAGCTATCTGTTTGTACAGTGGGATGAAGTTTAAATTCACTTGGTATTGTTTAACTTATATGTTCCCATTATTATTTATGATAAGTCTTGCGATTTTGAACGCTATACTCGATTCCTAAGCAATTTTTGAAAACCCCCAAGCTAGAACTATACAGCGACCTGAACACGAGAGAGAAGGCGCAAAGTATGCGAAAAGTACTTTACTTCAAGGTTCCATTTTTGTACAGAAAAACACGGGTATTTATAGATGTTAACATTTGTTGAATCAACATCATATTTTGGCCAATCTACTAAAAGATATATTATGCTACTAACCAATAGTAGCACATCACATTGGCATTCTAGAAAGCTTCATCATGTTCTGATTAGCTAAGACTCTTTGATTCCTTTAGGGCCTCTGGAGGCTATGTTTCAGTTCTTGGAAAGTCAACTTAATAATTTAAAACTACAAGTGATCAATCTTTAAATGAACATCAACTCTAAGATAATCGGTACATTCAATTGATGAGTTGTAAATTGGATGAAACTCACATCAAACTGAATATCACTGCTAATCACTATCTATCTTTGCTTAAAACACTTGTAACTTATGATAATCTATACAAGATGTATATATATATATACCAACATGAATGGACAGCTCAGAACCAATTAGACGACTTGGACTTCGCAGATGACCTAGCCCTCCTATCACATACACACGAACAAATGCAGATAAAGACAGCCAGCATAGCAGCAGTCTCTGCATCAGTAGGCCTCAACATACACAAAGGGAAAACCAAGGTCCTCAAACACAACACGGAGAACAGCAATCCAATCATTCTTGATGGCGAAACTCTGGAAGACGTGGAATCCTTCACATACCTGCGAAGCATCGTCGATAAACAAGGAGGTTCAGATGCAGACTTCAAGGCGAGGATTGGCAAAGCTAGAGCGGCATTCCTTCAACTGAAGAACATATGGAACTCAAAACAACTTTCAACCAATATCAAAGTCAGAATCTTCAATACGAACGTCAAGACAGTCAGTTCTACTGTACGGAGCTGAAACTTGGAGAACTACAACAACCACCATCAAGAAGGTACTCAACGTCCATTGGCCGGATACCATCAGCAACAGCCTCCTGTCGGAGAGAACAAACCAGCTTCCAGCGGAAGAGGAAATTAGGAAAAGACGATGGAAATGGATAGGACATAGATTGAGGAAATCATCAAACTGCATTACGAGACAAGCGCTAACTTGGAATCCTGAAGGGAAGCGGAAAAGAGAAAGGCCAAAGAACACATTACGTCGGGAAATAGAAGCAGATATGAAAAAGATGAATAAGAAGTGGAAAGAGCTTGAAAGGATTGCCCAGGACAGGGTTGAATGGAGAATGCTGGTGAGCGGCCTATGCTCCTTCACGAGGAGTAACAGGCGTAAGTAATACCAACATGAAACTGATCAATTACAGTTTGGGATGATACAAGTAAAAACAATATAAAGTGAATTTATGATAGAATAGTTTATATAATTTTAACTATTCATTTATAGATAAAGATGTTTTTCATTACATAAAATAGAAATAAAAATAGAAAATTTCTTTATGTTTACTTTTATATCAAAAATGAAAGTGTATTTGTCACATGTATATCATCATAAGGATATTAGATAAATATTGGTTAAACAACTACCCTATATATGTATATAGGGTATATATGTATATATATATATATATATATATACTGTGTATGAGTGTATAGAAACACGTGTTCCTATGCATGGAAATGAATCCATTTAAAGTATATAAGTAAGAAACAACCTGTAACTCTGTCCTATAAACATTTTAGCTTATGAAACTTGACACACACACACACATGCATACATACACACACATGCATACATACATACATACACGCACACACAAATGATAAGCTTTAGATACATTTTCGTCATTTACACATATGTGTGTATTCACATCCATCTATCTATGTATCTATCGGTTTCTAGATGAATCGGTGCATATATTCATATTTCTATAGTAATTACATACATATTTACACATTATTATTTGTTGTATTTTCTTTATAATGCACAATCATAGATAGTTACTGCCTATCAGCAAACTGTTTAGTCTAGGAAATCTGTTCACATTTAGTCTTGGACTAATAAGAAAAATAATATGTATCTACCTACCTATCCATCTATCCATCTACCTATCCATATATATATATATATATATATATATTGAATAGACGTAAGTGCATATTGGTTTACACCAAAAAGAAAAAAAGAAAAGAAAAGAAAAAGGAAAAAGGAAAAAAAAACAAGGGATAAAGTTTTCAACTACAAAATATATGTATGTCTGTATGTATAGTTGATAAGAATTACAGATTTAAAAGAGAGGAGGGAACTGGAGAAACGGTAATGATTCATAATAAATTAAATAAATTTATCAGAAACAAGAAGTAATAATAAGAATAAAACTTCATTAAAATAATCATCAAGATAAAAGTAAATGAAATAAGAAAAGAAAAAAAAAGAAGAAAAATAACGAAAGAAAAATCATTTGAAATCAACTCATCATTATATTATTATGGTCATTTATCAATAACAATAACAACAGAAAAAACAAAAAACAAAAAAGGTTACATGGATTACACTTATTCATGATTACATCATCAATGTTACATGTGTGTGTGTGTGTGTGTATTTATATATTACTCAATTAAGGAAGAATACATATATGTATATATATATATATATGTATACAATGAACATTCAATATAAGATATAACAAAGAAAACACAACATAACATAGCAACTAATTTATATTCAATAGATTGTTTATTATATACCATTGAAAGGATTCAAAGGATCCATCTTGATGGATTATATATACATATATATATGTAATATGAATAATATTCATTATGGAGTTATATAATTCAATGTTTATTTTATATGATTGTATATCCTTTTGATTATGGAAAATCATCTTGATCATAAATTGAATGATATAGAATCTGATTCAAAGTAAGTAACTAATTGATATAGTTAAATGCTTATTATTATTATTATTATTGTAATTTGTGGATTGGTTAGAGTTAGACATTAATACCGGCTTAGTGATTTAATAGTTAAGCGTTCGTCCATGAGACTGATAAGTCCTAGGTTCGATGGATGTATACTGCTAAAGAGTTTCATACTAGAATGAAACGACTTGTGGTGGTCGGTGTTCGATATATTCCTTAAACTCCGTATACAGTTCGTCTCGGTAACCGTCACCAAATAATGCTCCAACGGTATATTAATCAGAAGGCGAATACGAAGTGTTAATTACGTTTATTAAGGGACCACACACAGATATCCAAAATTACAGATGCGTTAAGCAAGCATTAAATAGTTGTGCCAAAAGGAAAATCGACAAGCAAGCGAGCGAGAAAGAGAGAGAAAGGGCAAGAGCGAGCGATCGAGCGAGTGAGTGAATGAACGAGCGAGCGAGTGAGTGAATATGAATAACATGGACATATATATACATAGTGAAATTAATGAATCATCGAGTCAATTAAGCGGTTAATAGTAAAGCTAGTAGCGTGAATAAATGCGTAGGCAGTAAGGCTTGCCGAGCATACATATTCATACAAGGATAACAATAATAAAGGTACATACATTCGCAACAGTAATAAGGATACAATAAGTTATTATAGTGCAGGTGACTTTGTCCGTTTAATAAGTTAATAAAAGGGCTTAACCGAATTAGATGAGAGCAAACTCAATTGAATGTGAGTTGCTATAGTCTACCTAGTACTTTCAAATTTTTCATAGTGGTCTAGTTTACATTGACTCATGATTTACACAAAACTCCTTCTAATAATAATCATTTACTGACTAGTAACTGACTTCAAGAGTCATTTTCTGGAGTTCTAGTGTGAAGCTGTTATCAGGGGAGTTCAACTAGGTTTGTTGTGAGATATTAATTCACTGAAAGCAATAGTGTACGGTGGTGCAACTTTGTAGATTAGTTGAAATTAGACATTAACACTGTTGGATGCCGGCCGCTTCAGTGATCTAATGGTTAAGCGCTGACGCGCGAGACTGATAAATCCTGTGTTCGAATCTTGCAGGGGGGGGCGGTATTGTGGATGTGCACTGCTGAGGAATCCCATACTAGAACGAAACGGCCGTCCAGTGCTTTCAGGTTTCCTATGGTGGTCTAGCTTTAATTGACTCATGATTTCAACTATTAACATTTATTCATAAGAGTTTTATGATAACTATATTTAATTAATCATTAATAAACACATCATTAATTAATTCCAATTAAATGAATACAAATGGATAATTCATAAGTATTTATAACATCTGATGAAACTCGATAAAGTGCATAACTACGGATAGTAATTTAGATATATTAGTGAAACTTTAATATATGGATCACCGTCGAGCGACGCTAGATTGATCTTGAGAGTGTTCACTTAATAATCCATACCAAATGAGGGTTATAAAGTAGTGTAAGGAATTAGAATTATGATTTACAGTTGATGGTTAAGATTACGAACTGATATCAGTTATGATGCCAAAACTCTATTTAACCAAATGGATGAGTGAATTTTACACCGAAATCCGAGATCTGTTATCTTATACATGATTGGTTCGTTCATAAATGATAGTCTTCTTAATTATCATTTCTGTATAAAGTTTCTGAAAATGTGGAATATACTGTACATTATGATATCCTTATATTATAGGAATTCGATGAGAGATAATACACTATTGAATGTGAACTTCTAGTGGGTTCGAACCATGTATTGTAAATATCTATAAACTAATCAGAGATTAACTAAATAAAACTAAAGGTTCATTCTTTTATTTAAGTCGCTACAAAGTTAGAATTTACGTCAGACAATTTGAGCTATTTAACAGTTTACTTAGGTTTTGTGTTAATTGGTAATCGTAAACTCGAATATTTTAAAAACCTCATATCTCATAAAAACTCCGCCAGGAGTCCCTCAGGGGGCTACTGCCGGTCTCAAGCCCCGATAAAGGAGGAGTGTTGGGCATGGGGTTAGCTACCCCATCCCGTAGAAAACTAACTCGATAAAAAAACGCTAACCAGGAAATTATTCAAACCATATCCCTTAAACCTTTGAATCTAACTTTTTAATGAGAAAACTTTCATAAAATCTATATCCATTGGTTGCTACTGATTATCTATAGATGTTTAATATCAAAAATCCACTGTATACAATCGCATATCACTTACAGTAGTAGTCACAAAACCATTCAATCGATAGAGTCCATGATCTCCAAGGTTTAGACAAGCTTGACAACAGTTACGACTTAATGATCAATCAGTATAAATGTTCATATTCTATACTTCATATTAAGATTTTTCATAATACTATAATGACAGATAAGTTAATGTTCATGAAACGATATAATAGTAAGCCTTTTTTAATAGTTCCAAGGACTTTGAAGAGACACAAGTAAATCCTCATAGATACTTGAATGAAATCGAATACTGTTTAGGTTTACGGTCAGTGGATATATACTATATATATCCATTTAAAATGATCAATAAGAGGTTTCAGATCCTAAATTAACCTAAGTAAGATAACCATTAAGAAATTACCAGAAATCTTCCATAACCCCATCATTGAGGATTAAACCCAGGAACATTTGATTCACGATTGAGATCATGAATCGACTGATGTTAGATCACCGTTGGAAACCTGGAATCACTGGACGGTCGTTTCGTCCTAGTATGGGACTCCTCAGCAGTGCGCATTCACGATCCCGCTCATCAAATTCGAACCCAGGGCTTTCAGTTTCACGCGCGAACGCTTAACCCACTGAACCACTGAGCCGGTATCCAATGGTGTTAGTGTCTAACATCAACCAATCCACGAAATTACGCGACCATCTTTCATTGTACTGAAGTAGATACCTGTCTCTACCCGACACGGAGGAGTCCCACAATAGGACGAAACGACCGTCTAGTGCTTCCAGGTTTCCATCGGTGATCTAACATCAGTCGATTCATGATCTCAATCGAAAACCCAATAATCTCCACAACCTCAATACTGATAACTTCTGATTTAGCTCACGAATGTTTATCTTTTAGTCTATTAAGGCAGAATCTAACAATGTACAAATATAGGGATAGTAATTTACTATCAATTTGTCTAATCATATTACTTGATCTCTAATTTTTTTCAAAACTTTATAAACACTTATTCAATATTAGTTTCTATTTGAACATAAATCAATTTCCTATTGATATAATTGATTGTTCCTAAAGTATCAAGTGAAACCTATCTAAAATAAACTATATTAAATTATAGAGTCATAAACACTGTACTTTACAAATAGTCAGTTAGTCAGTCAGTCAGCAACAACGTAGAACTTCGTACGTACATACGTACATCAGTTCGAGTTGCCATACCGTATTAGTACACAGATACAATTATCGATCCAAATCTCATAGTGCTAGAGATTACTTACTTACTTACGCCTGTTACTCCTAATGGAGCATAGGCCACCGACCAGAATTCTCCAACTCACTCTGTCCTACTCTGTCTTCATTTCTAGTTCCATTCAATTCTTGTTCATTTTTCTCGTGTCTATCTCCATTTCTCGGTTTAAATGTGTTCTTTGGTCTTCCTCTTCTCCTCATTTGTTCCTGAGAATTCCAAGTGTGTTCCATTCACTTCCAGTAGTTCTTCCTGATTTCTTCCTCCACTGGAATCTGCTTTGTTCTCTCCCATAGTAGGTTATTGATGATAGTGTCTGGCCAATGTATCCGAAGTAGACAACCGCTAATAAACACTTGTATCATCTGGATGATGACTTCTGAGTTCTTCAAGTTTCCGCTCCATACAGTAAAACTGTCATGACATTTGTATAAAAAAAATCTGACTTTGGTGTTAGCTTAAGGACAGTTGTTTTCAGTTCTAAATATTCTATTATTGTGCATTGCTGAAGAGTTCCACAGCAGGACGAAACATCTGTCTAATACTTCCAAGTTTTCTATAGTGATCCAGCTTTAATTAACTCATGAATTCAATGATTAAATAATAAATTTTTCGATTAATTTCTAACAAAATTATCATTTAAAGTATATACCTGTAATAATTATGTAATATTAAACTTCAATTGTCCCCATGAAGTGTAAATATTCAATAACATTATCATTACATAATGTGGATTGATTGAAGTTAGACATTAACACTGTTGGATGCTGGCTCGGTGGTCTAGTTGGTTAGGCGCCCGACGCGAGACTGGTAGGTCATGGGTGCGAATCCCGCGGGGGTCAGAACCTTGGGTGCACACTGCTGAGGAGTCCCACACTAGGAAGAAACGGCCTTCTAGGTTTCCCATGGTGGTCTAGCTTCAATTGACTCATGTTTCAACTGTTAACATTACATCATAGTAATCATTTGTGTAGACCATTTTCATGTCAGTATACACAAACCTAAGATAGAGAGACAGGTAGAGACAGGTATCTACCTCAGTACAATGGAAGATGGTCGCGCAATTTCGTGGATTGGTTGATGTTAGACACTAACACCATTGGATACCGGCTCAGTGGTTCAGTGGGTTAAGCGTTCGCGCGCGAGATTGAAGGCCCTGGGTTCGAATTTGGTGAGCAGGATCGTGAATGCGCACTGCTGAGGAGTCCCATACTAGGACGAAACGGCCGTCCAATGCTTCCAGATTTCCAACGGTGATCTAACATCAGTCGATTCATGATCTCAATCAAGAACTTAATAATCTCCACAACCCCAATAATGATAATATAATATTTGATCGTTGATATCAATACATACAATCAACCTCTTATAACTTGTGAACTGGGTGCCTTGTTTATTGTATAACATGATGATACCGCCAATTAAAGAACAGTAAATTATCGATCGAACCAATGACACGTAAAACCCATACGAGCAGTTTAGAGTACTTACCAGTCCTGTTTCATGCCTAGCCCAACCAGTTAAGTCCAGAACACCAATCTCTGTCTTTGCAATAGGAAT